CGATTTTAACTTATCCTGTTTTCTACTAAGCCTTATGTTCTCATGACCGTATTCCTCCTCCCCAATTTTAAGTCTCAAGATGCTTTGAAATTTATAAATAGTAATTTCTACAATTGTTTTCCCCTGTTAAATTCGATGGTCCGCCTCGATAATTATTTATTCTATAATTTAACTTCGTTGTCCTGCTCTCTTTCTTTAAGTGAGTTTTTTTCTGACTTTATTTTTACGTTAGTGACTGCGGCATCGCCTTTGGTGCATGATAGGCAAGTATAACTTTAGCGCATTAGCCGCCTCTCAACGTTCACTATTTCAGTGCTTCGTGTTCGCTATTGAAAATGCTTTTGCCAGTTCCGTCTGCAGTCTGTCGATGATTAATATCTTTCCTTTCCCCTCCTCCCAAGCGCATCAGTCGTCTAGTCGGTTGGCTCATCTCTTCACGCGTTCGTAGCCTTATCGGTGATTTAAAATTACTCCTTGCTCATACACACCCCACTTACGCTTACTTTTCTGTTCGAAAAGTTCATCATGGAGCGTTTCGGGATACTTTGTTGCACGGCGATTCTGGAGAATGTCTACCGCAGTCTCAGGCAAACCAGCTAATTTTTTTGCCTAATGTATTGGCCTCACAACTAATGGGCAGACTAATCCGATGCTAATTCCCATTCTGTGCTTTCTATGCTGATTTGAGATTGATCGAAATAATTTTGTTTCCTAAAACTTTATGGCACGGAGTGGTCGTGCTTTTAATGCCTGTTTGAAAGTGCAAATGTGTAACCTATGCTTTTCACCTTGTCTACCAGGTGTCGAGGCAGTGAGCAGGTGAAGATGGCTAAGAAGTCCGGTTTGAACACAAGTGTGATCATTGTTTTCCACAATGAGGCCTGGTCCACTCTACTTCGCACCATCCATTCCGTTCTCAACCGATCGCCACCGAAACTGCTCCAGGAGGTTATTCTCGTCGACGATGCCAGTGATCGCGGTAATTCATTTTTGTTGATATTTTCCCTCTTTAATGGTCCATTCTACTAACCTCATTTATTGGTTTTGTATTTTACTTCCTTAGTTAGACGTTGGACAAAATCATGCATTTTTTGTGTTGTGCTTTTCGTAGAATGGGTAGTTCTAAACTTCACTGCCTAATATTAAGGCTTTCTTTTCCGAAAGGAATAATGTATGAGCGATTCAGCAAAACACAGCGGTTAAGACGCTAGCTTAATTTTACCATTATTAATTTCTGTTTGTTCTTGTATACATGAATGGGCTTCTACGTACCTTCTGCTTAATTGCTTATTAATGCAAAGTAATGCTCCAGTTTACATATAGGAACCCTTTTTTTTTGAATTGGGGGTGGGCAAATTGATAAAAGAATTTTTGCATATGGTCAAGAGTGGAGGTTGGCAAACACTACCCCAACCGACACTAATACCATGCCGTCAATTTGGTTAAGCATGGTCGTGCGCTCTGGCCTTACTGTCGCGTTTTGTTGATGGATTAGCATGACGCGGATTTGATCATCCTGTCACCTTTCCGTGCATATCTAGGTTTACGGCAATGAGGCTTTGGTATTGATAAGCGTGTTCTACTGCATTCGGTCGATAAAGTTCTTCTTGGCGTAGCACGCACCGTGACTTATTGACAAAACGACTGTAGCTGCTTTCTTCCAAGCTTTTGATGAATATTTGTTCATCCAATGCACATATGCTAGTTCCAAAATGCAAATCGTTATTTTCTTTCATTTATCGTTCTAGTGTAATTTATAGTTGCTCCGGTTTTTTACTCATTTGAAGTTTGCCTATGTTGGGCCATACTGTGAATGTCAAAGCATAATGGACTTTTGACTTATTCTTCCAATAAAACTTTAGCTGCACCGCTGTTACCAAACTCCGAATTTATTCAATGCGTCGTGACGTCGCTGACGTTTGTGAGTACGTTTGGTTTCTCAAGCAGAATATGAGTTTTCATATTTTTCTGAAGGAGGCAAGTTCAGAGTATCTTATTACCGTAACTATGGTATTGGTAATTGACATGTTGCACACTATCCACGAAGTGATTTTGCTTTCCGAGTCTCATTATTCGCCTTTCAAGTCGCGGACTGATAAAACTTGTGGTGTTTGGTTTAATGGCCGGTTGATGGAATATGCATTTTATCGTAGCATAAGCAAACATACTTGAGGCGAGACAGCACTTTCCTTTCATTCATTTTTCGGTTAGTCGTACCCACTCTTCTCTATATTCTTCATTGTTTCCTAACTAATAACTAAAATTGGCTACGTGAAAGTGACGCTGTTATTTTCAATGCAGAGCGTAGTCTGATTTTGTGGCAAATGTCTGCGTTTCTTCTCAATACTAGTGCTTTTTCACAATCTCAAACACTGGGTTGCGTTTTCACTTTATGTAGTTTTTGATTATCCATTTCCCTTAGATGAATTTAGTCTTGTCTGTGATCTCTGCATCTCTTTTTGAAGT